GTGTTTGAGGGAGATGTTTTTGTGTTTTGAAATTAATCAAACATGTCATAAGGTGTGTTTCTCCAACCTATTCTTACTTGAAATTGAAAGAACAATCTATTCCATAGGCCATCATTTATGCTGTGATTCGGATGTTTGAAAAGATCTGCTCATTGGTCTCCATTTTCCTCTTGTACAACGAGCTGAGACACATATCCCATGTGGAAATTCAGAGGGAAATTCTGGTTTTACACTCTGTTATCGATAGACATGCTTCTCACACACATGTAAACAGGACCTGTGGACATGCATTAGTGGAGAGATGTCAGAGTGGGGCAGCTACGCAGGGAGCGCACAAGAGCGGTTGGGGGTTCAGTGCCTTGCTCAAGGGCACCTCAGCAGTACTTGGAAGTACCCTGGCATCTCTACAGCAACCAGTCCAACTTCCATGGTTCGCATCAGGACTGGATCTCCCAACCCATGTCCCTACAGACTGAGCTACTGCCGCCCCAATTTTCTCACCTTATGCAAGTTGAGGCAACACTGACACAGACACATGAATTATGACAAACCCCAAATCAAACACCTTTACAGAATGTCCTTGTACATCTTTGTAGGGAATCAGAGACTTCTTTGTGACATCGGCTTGTCAATATTATCACATTAAGCAGAGGCTATACCGAGAGCACTGTCGGTGCTGACAATTTGTCCTTCTGGAGGTCTTGCTGGAGTTAAACATGGATAATGTAGGTAGAATATAATCAGTACATCACTGCATCAATAGCTTAATTCTGCTATAGTTCAACTTAACTTCTTTAAACCAAAACCAAGCCAATGTGGGCGTGATAATAAAACAGTCTTCTTGGGACCAAACTGCTGTATCTGCTTTCCAGGTGTAAAGCCAGCTTTTAAGCAGAAGGCTAAAATTTACAGGCGGGATTCATGCACCATCAATTGAAGTTGGCCCATGGAGTAATATATAGGCAATTAGGCTCTAGGTAGCAAGATTTGAATTGAAAAAGTGTCAAGCGGAGTGAGAAACTGTCCTCCGGTAACGAAGAGAAAGCCAATCAGATGGGAGCACTATGAACACAGGCTCCTCTTGGAGTCCTCTTTTGCTATACAGCATTATTTACAGCAGCACTGGTGTCTCCTGGGTATTCATGACCAGAAGAATGACGTCTGAGCAGAAGGTTTATGTAAACCATATTCCTTCAAGGAGACAGGATTTGAGCTGCTGCCAGGAGCAAGAAAAGCCGAACATGAAGGCTGACAGAATGAATGGAGGAGCTGGGAAAAGAAGCAGCAGATGCAGAGGTTCGGATATGAGCTGGCATTGTCTGAGTCTTCCTTTTTCGGAGAAAGATATTTTATTAAAGAACTTCAAAAGTTACTTTCGCTCCGTCTCATTTTTCTTCCTTCTTTAATGCAGCTTTGGCAGAGGCTGTCTGTAGATTCATTACAGTTGAATGTCACAGGTAGTCTGGACCATTCCTACTAATTAGTTTATGGTAGAGCAGGGGGAATAAGGGGACACTGGACTGTACTATCTGTCCGCTCATGACCTCTTGTACCTGCCTGGGTGACTGGCAGGAACATGAATCTTCCCCCAGGATGGATGACTAACCTAAAGACACAAATAAAAAAAAAAGCTATGTAACATACCCTGAGGAGATAGAGAAGGCAGGAGTGAGAGTGAGATTTTAATGAGGAAAATGAGCGGGTGGGGAGACGCAGTGCTTGTTGCTGATGAAAGAGGAGATTAAGAAGTGATAGAGAGAGAGGAGGGGGGCAAGGCGGGGAGAGAGAGAGAGAGAGAAGGATGTAGTGCTTAAGGGAGAAGGAGAAGAACAAAAAAAAGGAGGAGGAGGTGGAGGAAGGAAATCAGAGAAAGTGACGACGAGGTGTGTTTTTTTTTTTTCAAAGTTTTCAAAGTTTCAAGAGATGGTGGGAGTTAGGAAGAAGATGTCTGCGAGGGTTGAACATGTCTGCAAAACACCCCTCAGGTTTGAATAAAGAGAAAGTTTGGTGGGCTGAATCATAGAGCTGCTTTAGTTAATCAGTAAAATGGCCAATGAGGGTTGTATGTGAGAATATGAAGAGTGGGCTGGGGTGAAAGTGGAGTAAGTCTTATTTGAGACACTAAAGAAAGTTATCCTCCCCCTCTCACAGGCTAGGTGACACTCTTACATAATAGTCAGCGTCTCCCTCTTCTTCTGTTTCTCTTTTTATCGAGTTAACCATCATGTCTCTCTATCCTAGTGAGGAGAAAGATAGATGAAACTCAGTACGGAGCCTGAACAGAACATGTACTATAGCTGTAAGTACCGGTAAGTAAAGGAAAGCAAAATAAGAAGCATGGAACAGGTGAAGAAGCCAAAGGATTGATTCCCCATAGCTGGAAAAAGCTAATGAAGATGGTGCACCAATTGTTCCAATAAACAGTCATACATGTATTAATAAGTTATCTTGGGTAAAAATTATAAGCTGACATCATTGTATATGGTTATATAATGATTGATTTAAACTACTCAGTATACATTAATCACGTTTCTGGTCTAATCTAAATGTGTTGGAGATCAGAGAGGACATCATTCTGACAGCCAGTGAAGAGTTTTGGGAAGTGGTACAGGGCTGACCTCAACGACAGAGTGTGAAGTATATTCCCCTTCAAGCTGAGACCTTCATGAGCGTGCCACCCGGCAAGTATAAAGCCTGGGGATACCAACTCGGGACGCTTCCCAGATTGCTCTGGACACTGCTCGTTTACGAGGTACAAGTCTCTTTGGGGCTGGAGAGGCAGATAAACACCTACCGAGGAGATGACTGGGCCTCCTGAGAAGCTTCTTCTCTATTGGTCAGCAGGCAGCACCTGCCTGTAACATCCATAGTCGAGGATGACAAGGCAACAAAAAACACACCAGGCCGTGATGCTGCGAGACAGCACAGTTGCAAGAGTACGCCAGGCAGACTTTGTGGCATATGTTGTATTTCAGTGGTAAGAAGATGTCCTTTATGAATTCCACTAGAGGAAATTTACTTTTACACTCTGTTATTGAGACATAACATAGGCTGAAAAGCACACACATGCACAAACAGGATCTGATGGACGATGCGCTAAGGGAGGGATGTCAGAGTGAGGAGCTGCACATGCAAGAGCGTTCGAGTAGTTTGGGGTTCGATGCCTTGCTCATGGGCAACTCTGCAGTGCTTAGGAAGTTAATTGGCACCTTGCTAGCTACCTGGCCAATTTCCAGACTTGATCAGCATTGGGACTTGATTCCAGTTCCCAACCCCAGTCCCTACAGGCTGAGCTACTAATGCCCCCCCATATTCACATCAGACTATACAAATAGCCAGGGCAATGGTCTAAGTACATTGTTCAAGTGGATTGTGTACGTGTTCACTGACTTTTTCCATGACGCGTGTAAAACTTCATCATCAAATTACCCATGATATCAAGATAGATGGACACATTTGTCTTGTGCTTATTGACACCTCTGCAGCAGTTTAAGGGCGCGGTCTCAGTGGTCATACTAGCCAGGACTAACCGTGCTTAAGCACGATTACCTCTTGTACATAACGCTGTAATACATCACATGCACGCTTTATGTTATTATGAAGCGTGCTCAGTTTACAAACAGGCGGACGAGAGAGAGAGAGAGAGAGAGAGAGAGAGAGAGAGAAAAAGAGACGTGCAGTCGAGTCCGCATCTGCACATCAGAGAAAAACACAGAGAGCATGACAGCTACTTTACTGACTTTACAGCTTAATTTTAAGCCATTTTAATCAGACACAGTCACAAATAAATTAAAAAATAAAATAGACGCGTGGCCGAGTCCACAGGCGCATCAGAGAACAACACAGAGAGCATGACAGCTACTTTGTGTCTTATATTGTGTCATGTTAGTCAGATACAGCCATGAAACTCTGGATTTCTCCATAATGAAGGCTGTCAGCGTTGTTTACCCGCGTGCTTGTGCTCGTGCATGAAGTGTACCGTGCCGAAGCACACCTCTCCGAAGTGTGCCAAAGCCAAGGAAGTGTACCGTGCCTGAGCACGATACAGAGCGGTCACACTGGTCAAACGAACTGGAATTTAGCGTTGAAGCGTGCTTGGGCACGGTACGGATGGCCAGTGAGACCGCGCCCTAAAAGCCAAAATCACTAAAACTTTTATTTATCTTGATAAAATGTAAAATGTGCTATAGTCTCAATATTCATATGTCATGTAATCATTGGGTACAGGTCCTGACAGTGATTTTGAATGATCTCATATTCAGTGCTAGTAGTAACTAATCGGCAAACAATATCTCTGGCAAAGACCTCCTTCCTTTCCTATTTGTAAAGTAAACATATCAATATATGTAACCTTATGTAATAACCTAATAACCCTCTGGGTAGCCTCCTGCAAAAGTCCTGCTGGTCAATTAACCTCAGAGCTTTCTGAGGCTATCAGCTTGACACCATCAAATCAACACATCCTGCTGAATCAGTACAGCACTTCTCTCAAGAAGAAAACAAAGCGAGACAGCTCATTCTTCAGCTGTTCTATCCTCAGCGCTGTAAAGAACGGTAACATTTAGATGCACAGACATGTGAGAGCATCTTGTCAAATAGTATGATATATACACAGACATCACCTGTGTGTTTTGTAATGTCCACTCAGTGTTACAGTCTTTTCATGGACTTTACTTGTATTCTGCTTCCGTGCCTTTCTTTCAATAAGTTACTAAAATATTTTGTTTTTAGGCTGTTGTGTTGGTTTGTGTTGTTCTAATGTTTGGATAGGGTCATGACTGTGTGATCCCTGTTATTGTAAATGCTTAAACCTCCAGGGACACCCCAGTGCCTAGCACTGTTTTTTGGGGTTGAAAAGTTTAGGAACCACTGATCTAAGGCATCCCTATAGAATCTTTTTGCATGTGGATTGCATTGAATCTACTTTTGCATTCTTGCCACTAAACCTCTGCCATAATGCAAGCTGACATATGAGTGCTTGTTGCCGCAGCGGTACTTACCCTCTGTATATCTGAAGTGAGTTGCAGCAGTGTTGGTGAAGCTGTCGCTCTGAGAGTTTCTGTTCCTCTAACGGGAGAATTCAGACTGATGTAGGCCACAGCACTGCTCTGCAGGACAACGCTGTTATCCTTTGAAATGAAAAAGCAAAGTCAGCTCTCTCCATGAATTTGGACTGCAGTACCTATTTTAAACACTAGGTGTCAGAGTTACATACTGCTCCTTTGAAGAAGTATAAACATTAACATTTCCCTTGTTAACCTGATGGTTGTATCTTAATTATGTCAGGAACCATTGTCAGATGAATTATAGAGTCACAGGAATACGAATAATAAACGGATCGATTATGCAGGAGACCTTTTCAATCAAATCAAAGATCTGACTGCAGCTGTGGCAGGTCGCCCGTCTGAACGGATCTATCTTTGGAGAAACAGAGGAAAATTCAAATGATTTGAATGGCTTGCCTTTTTCTTCCATTAATAGTTCATTATGGACACTTACCTTTGACAAAGGTAAGATTTCTTTAACCTAGCCTGTATTCTGGGGTCGAAACAAGCTGCTAACTGGACCCAGCTAAGTTTATTGTTATGGGTGGTAGCTGCGAACAAGTTGTCAAAGTAGAATATGTAAAAGAAATAAGCATGTTTATGTTTTTTTTCTGAAAAGATGAGAAGGTTTCTTCCTTTATGTATTTTCTATCTTGATGTATCAAGTTCAAAATAAACGTGTTGTAGAAATGCTGGCTGTCAGCCTCGTTTATGTTTTAGCAGACAAAATGCTAAAAAGCTGTTTAAGTAGCATGTGACATGTTACAGAAAGAGGGAACATTTTCTGGAAAGAGAAAAACAAATGTTTGATCTGTATGATAGTTAGCACTGCATTGTGGTTTTATAGAAATGCATTTTTGCCTCAGTCGAATAAGTCGAGTATCAACAACCTTTTTCTTCCTTAGCTGACATTTGATAAAGCAGATGCTCTTGTGCTTGCTGACCTTTCCCCACTCAAAGGACCCGATGTTCCCCAGGGCAGAGCCTCCCCAAGAGCAGAACACGGTTGTCCGGTCTGGCACCCAGCCACGTTTGGACTGATCTGTCAGCACGGCGATGAGCTGATTCATGATAGCTGAAGCCCCACCTCCCTGGTCGCTGTCATGACGACTGCCAACCAGCACGTAGCGATCTGGAAGTGAATGAAAAGATATGAGTGGCCTAATTTATGCATTTATTCCTTAAAACGCTGCAGAATATTGCAACTTAAATTCTAAATACTTGTCATTTCTGTTAAAACAAATGATCTATATTGTCAGACATCGGAATACTTTAAACAGGGTGTTAAACAAGTGGAATTGTAGACATTAATATGAAACATTTTAATAAAGCAATCACAAGACAACTTAACCTTTAAACTGCACCAACCTAAAATGAACCTGTCAGTTCTGGGGGACAGGGGGAAAGCATTATTTTTGCTGAGCAACATTTCCCTTCATGCATCGCTGTAATAATACAATTAGTTTACATTACTTGCTGCTATTTATTTATCATACCAAGTCACTTTAATCATCACTTGTCTCTTTATCTTGTCATTATCTGGTCATTCTCTTCAAATACTGTCTCAATTCTCAATTCCCCCCAGTTAACTTCAACATTCATTTTTGTACTGTATATACCCCCTGTTTTTATTTTTTATTTTTATTTTTATTTATCTCATCTATTCTGTTTAATGTGTATTTTTGAGCTTTCTTGTCTGTGCTGCTGTAACGCCCGAATTTCCCCTCTGGGGATCAATAAAGTACTATCCTATCCTATCCTATCCTATTCTTTCAGGCCAAGTCTTCTTTGCGCAACAGATACTGATTTCAATTCTGGTGTGTAAATGCTTCAGACAGTGGCCTTCCTAAGTATTGTGTGTGTTGTGTGTGTGTGTGTGTGTGTGTGTGTGTGTGTGTGTGTGTGTGTGTGTGTGTGTGTGTGACTAGATGACTATAAGACACAAAATTGAAAGCTTGTTTCTTCTGCTGCGGTGGAATATCTCGGTTCATTCACTGTGTTTTTGACGTATTTAATGTCAAAGAAAACCACTAAGACCTTCAATGTATGTTCAGTTGTTATTTCCATCAATTAATGGATGTGATACAAATTGATACAACTAATTTTATTACACAATGAACCTATATCTATAATGAAGCTGTTGAACACTGACCTGTTGACTCTACTTCAGATCTATTCAAACATTTGAATACATTTAAACCTTGATGCTTTTAACACACATTTATCCAGTAATTCATTTCTATAGGTAGAATACTTATAATCATCATTACAGTTAATTTACCTTCAGGGGTAAATGGTTCGAATTGTAATTTGTTCTTTATGTGTAAAAGTTCCAGACACTAAAAAACAGGTCAAGTGTTTTCTAAATGAGGTCATCCCTGAAATGCAAAACAGTGACTAACAGAGAAGTTACTGAATAAAGATTTATAAAATGAAAATGAATGACACAATAACCCAGTGGGACTGACGCAATAAAACTCAAGTACAATTTGGATGTGGATTTCCAACAAAACACAGACACACACACACATGCACACAAACAAGTCTGCTCAAGGCTTCTTTGTACGCCTTACATTTGCTACAAAGACAGAGTGTTAAGTATGGATGCACAAAGCAGCTTCCTGCAGGCGAAGAGGAGAACAGAGCAAAGCTCATCACTCCAACACAGAGCGCTGATGACTTTGTTTGAGGAAAGAGGTGCTTAGAGAAGCCTGCTAGCTTAGCCTAAGAATCTGACAATGTGTTATTGCACTGAGAGCAGCTTCCAGGGTTCGAGTTAGCCCAGGAGCTGCTCTCAGTGCAATAACACGCTGTTATTACTGTAAAGCGCTCGAAATCAGTCATATGTGAGAGGGTGCAATTTGCTGTTTCTTCACATAGAATTGTGTTTACTCTTCATGGGCGTGTTTATTGCTCAGAATGAATAAACCGTTAAATGAAGCATGTATAAGAAACATTCAATAAAAACAACGACATGTTAAATATACGTGTATATGTGTAGTTGTGGTGTTGCTGCCTGTCAGCTATGACAAATCATGAACAAATGTTCAGTGCAATACGTGATGGAGAAGTTATTTCTTAACTGGTGTTTTTCATGCAGAACCTCTTGAGAAAATGGGTTAACATATTGTTGGTTTTGGCCGGAAAAGTTTAAATGACGATCTGCAAATTTGTATTTTTCTGCCAAAGTAGACAAACTTAATTGGCAGACAAAGATTATAAATATAAAGTGTTTCAAAAAGCAATGACTTGGGGAAACTCATATTGTAAGTGAATCTAACAGATCATGGCTTAATGATTTAAACGTACAATATGTAGAATTGTATTACAGTGTTTGCGTTCAAATATATCAATTAATTAAAAAATGGACTAAACCTATGATAAATATATTTTTGATGAGTACTGACATATATTCAAATGTTTCCAAAATCTATCAATCCGTAATTTTATAGTTGTTCCGAGATGTGTCTTCTTGTGGCAGCCGCCATGACAGACAACAGTTTATCGTTGCCATGGAAACACTGGATGTTACATAAAAGACTGCGACATAAGGAAGCGGGAAGTGCTACTGAAAGTTATACAACTCTGAGTTTGTTTTCGTCATGGGAGGGGGGTTGATTGAGTACCCTGGTGGGAGAGTTTACATCCTGTGCGTTTAAAGATTAACGATAAATACTGCTAATTCTACATGTCTCACTGCTCAGTATTGACATTTTATGATTGTATAAATCGACTGCGTGCCCTACCACAGAATGTGTGGCTTTCATAAACTGGATGCATGGATTTGTTCTGGGTGAAACTACATGACTACTTTCTACAATCCTGTTTTATTATATTAGTGAAAAACTGACAGATTTTTAGAAGTGCAGAAAATGACCCTGTAGATTCTTCAGGCATGTAATACTTAAAACCTCAACAATGTTCGTGCATATTAATCCTGTTGAGGGGTGGGAATGGGCATGGAACAGACATATGATCAAATGCCAACAACCAGTTAAAGTGTCACTCCTTCCAGAGATTTGTGGCCCACATTATTCGCTTTAGTGGCCCATTATGGCTGCCTAATATTACATTGTAAATCAGAGAGGTAATTTTCCACCAGTGAGTGGGCAGGACAGGTACAGTAGCAACGTACTGCTACGAGTAGAGGGGAGGGGAGGATGGGAGAGGGGGCTGTAACAGGAGGACAACTGTGGAGGTGAGGCAAGGACAAGATAAAGGATCTCCTCTCTGCTGAATAACAATTTAAAAAAAAAAAAAGGATAAGAGGAAAAACAGCCCAGCAGAAGGGGCTGCCATTTAAACATTAAAGGGACATAATGTGTTTGGAAATGACCTGAGCTCACACAGGACTGTGACTGCAGAGGACACCAGGGGTGGCTGAGAGAAAAAAGAAAGCCATTTAAAATATGCACCAGCATGTCACTGTCCAAATCGTTTAACCTTTTCTTTTTTGACTGATCATTAAAATCTGTTCATGTTGAGGAGACTGGTCACCTAATGCATGTCCTGAAAAATAAATATGATAGTATATATATGATAAGCTCTGATTTGAAACAAACAGCAAAACACAAAGAACACCCAAGAGCAGAGAATGCAGCAGACAAGGTTTAAAGCTACACTAACAAACATGTTACATTATATATTTAAATGTATTAAAGGTCACATATTATAAAAAATACACTTCACCATGTTTTTCTACAACTAATATCCCTAGTCCCTATGTCCCTAGTCTGTCTACCAACCCCCCAGTTATTATTTTATTCAAATACAGGATCAGAGTGGATTTATAACAAGAAACTTCAGAGACATGTTTTAGGGAGCTCTAAGACTCAATTTAACTTGTTGAAAAGGAGGTTGATACGTGAACTTTAATAAGTAAATCAAATGTCTAAGTGTAATTTATGAGAGAGTATTTAAGAGTCTCTTATAGAAACAATCTGCAGAGTGATATGACCTGACTTAAACAGAGCCTTTCAGCCTCTTTAACTTCTTGTCTTTCAGGTGGAACTCTTTTCTTAAAAGTTATTTTTGGGCCTTTTTGCCTTTAAATTTGGGGAGACAGAAAATGTTGGGAGAAGAGGGGGAGGGGGGTGACAAGCAGTAAAGGGCCGCAGTGGGATTTGAACCCATGGCAGCTGCCGAGGAGGGAAGCCTCCATATATTTGTGGCGCACAACATAAAAGCTAGGCTATCGGCAGCGTGTAGACTTCTCATATTCTGCTCACAGCAAGTACACATTCTATCAGTTTATCGACTTCTTTTGAACAATAGAGGATATAGAAAATAACATGTTCAGATAAATCCACTGTACACTAACTAAATGGCCCACAGAAAAAGTCACAAACACTAGTGGAGCGTTTAGAAAAAATGAATTTCCCCAAGTTTCCATTGCTTAACATTTTTGATATCATGGGGTATTACTCCCTTATTTAAGTGGAAAGGTCAGTGGATATGGGGAGAAGTGATGCAGGAAAAGGGTCAGAGTCAAACCCCCTTTAGTCTATTGTCAGTTGCAGTTTTGTCTGCAGTCTTTTTTCTTCTCTATAAACTGTTCTTTTTTTTCTTGTCGACAAGAGTACACGACTCATTCTCCTTGATGCCTAACTAAGAGTGAGGGTATCAACTGAACACAGGGCCTGTAATTTGTACCTGCACATACAAGCGGATGTAATAAGTGGTGCTTTTTCTTTTTAATTCACTCAAATGTCTGAATCAGCTTGATGATGGCAGGCATCTATAGCAGTAGAGCTCTTGATATTATTCTGGGAAGCAACTTGGATTCAAATTTCAACATGAATCACATCTACTTGTCTAACGTAGGTTTTTGGACAGAATGAGTAATGGAGCTAATTCTGAGAAACCGGAGAGGGTGAGACATTTGTGCCATAATGTGCATGAAATATAGAAAAATATGTGAAATTTTAGAGTTTATGAGAGGAATGATAATCAAGGACAAAGTTTCTTTTTTTTTCTGGAGAAATACTCAGCATACACATTTACATGATTGCTGCCTGTAAGCCTGTTTAGACCATTAGGCTTTTGCCCTTACCCAATCCTCCCCTCTCTCTTTATAACCATCCTGTGCAAATGAAGGCAAATGCAAATAGCCTTGACAAATAATTGCATGTATATCTCTGGCCATAGACGAAGATGCTGGCAGCCAACATGATTCACTAAAAACTCATCCAATCTGGCAGTTAAGTCAGAGGCCGTTTGCTTCCAACCATGATTATCTGGGTATACTACTCTTGTGAAATGCTCTAGATGGCAATAATAAACACGCAGCTTTGGGTTAGAAAAAATAGGTTTAAAGCATTTATTTTTTTAATGTGCCTTTGAATTAATCGGGGAGAGAGAGAGTGGGGTATGGCATGCTTGAAAGGAGACACCAGTCGGATTTGAATCAGGGCCGCCCGCTTGGAGGACTAAAGCCTCCGTACATGTGGTGCGTGCACTAACCACTAGGCCTCTTGCGCCCCAACAGGGTTTGGCCTTGCTTGTTATTCTATGATCTGCCTGCTTTTACATTTATTTTATTATTGCTGTCCTTGTAAAGCAACTTGTAACTTGGTATTGAAAAGTGCTCTATAAGAAAAGGTTATTATTATAACATTGTCAATTCAAACCGGTGAAGACAGTACGGCCAAAAAATCCAAGTCGTGACAGAACGTAATACAGGACTGATACATATTGTATTATATTGCAGTATTGTAACCCTTATTATAGAGCTTCAAATTAAAGTAAACTTCATAAAAGACATCAATACTCACATTTGGTTTCAAACCAAAAACCAACCCAGGTTTCCTGAACGCTCAAGGTGTGTAGCCTACTCTTTCTTTTATCCTCATTCTCTATCTTTGAAAACACAACATCAGCAGCACACCGAATCTCTAAGATAGAAAAATGTTTCCATGTTCTAGAGGGGGACCAACAATGTTGTAGTTTTTTTAAGGTTAAGTTTGAGGTTCTTTATGCCTTTATATAGAGATACAGCAGTGGATAGAGTCAGAAATCATGGAGAGAGAGAGACAATGGGAATGACATGTGGGACAATAGCCTCCGCACATAGGGTGCACGCACTAACCACTAGGCTACTGACGCCCAAATGGCCATATTTTGAAGCACTGGAACACTAACAAAGCTGGTATAAAGACTTGGAAGCTTACACAACACTGCCTGATTCAAAGCCTCATAACTCTTTGATTTCCTTTAGAAACATTGGTCGTTCTCCAGTTAACTATATTCAATCAATGTCTTTTTTTTTCATTGATAAAATGCAAATAATAAATAGTACAAAATGTAAGGTATACTGATAACTAGAGAAAAAACTGTAAAACAAATCATTTTAATTTCTTTCATCTACAGACTGACACTTTATAAACAGTCAATACCCTTCAGTGTGCTGAACTACACAACAAGAGTTTCACCAGCTGATGTAGCTACTCTTTCAATTAAAGGGGCAATACGTAACTCTGACACCTACCGTTCAAAATTGGTAATACAGTCCAAATTCAAAACATTGGACCTCTCTCCCCCCGCCCCCTCCTTTCTAGAGTCGATGTGCACACACAATGTGCCTATTGGTCCTTTAAAGGGAGAATGTGCGACTTTCTGATCCAGTAGATGTCGCCCTTGAGCACCATCATGAAACCCAAACTAACTGCTGTTTTTAGCGACACCTCCGCTTTTCTGAAGCCTCCGCTCTCTCCAGCAACACACCTCCAAACCCTCTCCACTCAAGTCCGTGCAATCGTATCAATTAGAACACACCATAATTTAAAAGCATTCAGTGCAAGCAGCAGGCAAAACTGTCCCTTGCTCGAGCGCAAGTGTCTGTGGCCTGCATTGTTGTGTTAGCATGCTAATGGTAGCGCTCTTTAGTTAGCTTGTAGCTTCATATTGCACATAAATTGACACAGAATGACCGTGATCTAAAGACACTTATGTGACATCCAAATAACCAGTGAGTATGTTATTCTTCTTTTCTCTCGTCCTTGACTAAAACAGCTTTCTACGCAAGGCCGTCCCGTCCATGTAAACATGATGTTAACACGGCTTGACATCTGTGCAGCTGGCGGGACTTGTGCTTCTCACTCATTGTAGACAGTCATGACAAAGAGAGACATTTACAGAAAATATACTTGATTTCTGTTATATTTATGTGTATAATGTTGCACATTCTGCCTTTAAAACAAATGATAGTTTAATACTTTTATGTCTAAGCTAAGAAGATCAAGGTGTGGGTGTGATGATAACATCATTTCAGTCCATTATTTTCTGTGTTTCTGTGTAAGATCTGTATTATGTATTATATGTATTAATTAAAATCTGTGTATTATGGTCTGCCAACTGATTTAAGCTTCACCTGGAAGCTTTGTTTGTCTACGATGAGGTGTTGCTTCAAAGCCGAACCTCAAAACAGTTTACAAACCTGGGTTCCTCCTTCCTTTCAGGTATCCCACGACATTGTAGATTTTCTTGTAGGACAGCTGGTTCCCAACAGTCAAGGTAATCTTCTTTCGTTCTAGGAAGAAGAGAAGATGAACTTTAAGGTGAAGGATAGCGAAAGAACATTGCGAAAACTTCTTGCAAAACTTGGTCGTCATTACGACAAACCCTGGCCAATTTGAAGCCGTTATGCGAGTCGCTGAGTGATACTGAATCTAAATGTGTCCCTAGTGTGATGAAAAAGGAAGAAATTGAATCCTTATTTTGTTAGTGAGGGCCCAGAGATAGAGGGTAAATTGGAAACAGCATGGCCTCACAGTCTCTGTCAAATGTGTTACATCTGTATAAACACCAACTCTGAGAAAATCAAATAGAAATCAGGGTGAGATCGCTGGTAGACAATTTTCCGTTCACAGTTTGATGGCATGCGTTATGAAATGACTTTTCAAATGTGACGGGTGAAAATTTAATCCGATGCGAGCAGATCACCAGGTAGTTTGAAGCTCCTGTGAGAAACTTTTGTTTTTTTGTGGATGTTTTAGCAACCCCTGTGGACCAAGAGATGCTTCTTGGCTCTTTGCTGATCTTGGTCTGCACAAGTGTAAGTTTATTTTTTTCAAATAAATAATAATCCTGTTTATTTTTACAGTCAAATGGATCACTCATTGAAAATCTTTGCTGTGGAAAATGTGCAAATCTCTTCTTAAGAATGGTTTGGGAATGAGGCCCAACACAGACACCATCATACTGTACACAGCCGTACGATGTACTTGACGGGGCAGTCACTCGATATTGCGTCTGCCTGCTCCGCTGCCTTGCTGGACGGCTTTGAGCTCTGGAGAGGGCGATGGCCGGATATCTGAGGGAAATGCAGCTGAGTTGCCAGTAAAGATGTGAAGCAGCAGCTCAAACTGTGTGTGACTAGAGGTCCCCTGCCTACAGCACAGCACTACAGCATGACAGCCCACTTTCCCAGTCTCGCTATCCTGTCCTCCGTCCCTCCCTCCCTGCCCGCCTGCCTGCCTGCCTGTCTCATCGCCCTCTCGCCACCTTTTTAATACATTATAAAAATTCACTGCTTTCTCTCACAGGCGCCACATAACCCATTTATCACTTTTGACATTGGCACAAATGACTTTGGCTAAAGAGCAGGGATGGAACATGTGGCCCCGTTTGTGTATTCAATCTGCAGACGTACGCACGGAGGGCAGCGAGAGATTTGTCACAGAGTAATTCTCCTTCATGATAAATGGGTTTACAGATAGGGCTGCAGCTACAGGTAAGGGGTGACTGCGTTAGGTTTGTATAGCTTATGAAAATATTCATAGGGACTATGGTACGTGTCTGATTTTCACTCTCTCAATGAAATGTGAAAGAAGATATTTCAATTTCACCTTAGTAAGTATTTCCCGAGAGATCAAGCTGTTTTCTACCTGATGCTGTTCAGATAAAAACAGTGACTTCAACATATCATTATAGGGAATTGTCATGGAACCATCATGGCTTTATCCTCACATGAGTTTAAACAGCTAACACAGCCTGGGGTCAAATGGACGCCAAAGAACACGATGTTTACCACATGTGTACAGGACATTGAAAACATATCATCACGTTAATTTTAAGTTCACCCAGTTGTAGGACAAGTCATTAAATATGAACCACAAAAAACAATGTCAATTGTTTATTTAAGAGCCAAATTGACCCCAAAGATAATAGGAGGGTTAAGCAATTTCCCTTCTGAGTGAATTTATATTCCCTGTAAGCGTAGGCTGGTTAAATAGACTGGCTCTTAGGAAACAGGTCCTCTCCTTTAACAAACAAAAATAAATACTTAAACTTTGACACCTAGTGTTTAAAATTGGTATTGCAGACAAAATTCAAAACATTGGAGACAACATTGACATGCAGGAAAGGAGCCACAGTTTGGATTCGAACCGGGGCCGTCCTCTCTCCAGGACTATAGCCTCTGTACATGGGGTGCTTGCACTAACAACTTGGCTAACGGTGCTCCATTAGAAAACCAGCTTTTGAATATCTGGCTGAAAACCCGAAACAGTTTGATAAGCACAAAAACACATCTAACATCTAAGCTCTAGTTTACATATTATTGCTTGTGGAGTTTCTTTGGAAGACATCTACAATCTCCTGTTGGTCCTTATAAACTTGAATGCAGAAAGATACCAAGAATAAGGAGGTACCAATAGGTGAGATACAATTGGTGCGCAATCAATAAGTTATGACATAATAGAGACAACAGAGATAATTTGCTCTTATCTTAGAGATGAAGATAAATTAATTTCATGTTCCAAATGACACAACTCCAGAGGATATTAAGAAACATCAAACTATTAGAACATTTGTAATTTGTCTTCATGCATTGTTGTGAACTTGTGATTGTAGCAGCCATTAAATATTTCTACATTTGAAGAATTACTTATCTGCACTGTGTGGCTCATCGACAGTGATGAGGGCATCAGACAATATGAAACACCCCATGTAGTCACACATAATTAAATCACATCTTGCAATAAAGCAAGCCTAATGAAAATAGCATATATATAAAACCATAGTGCCTATATTCTGAAATGTTCCTGCCCTGTTCTCTGCAGGGTATTAAATGCAGAGTTGAGAAGAAAAGGCAGTAAGTGAATGATCAATAGTGGCGTAATTAAAGGGCCTGGGAGTCCTTTCTATAAAGCCATTTCAAGTTGTTCTGCTTCGCTCGCTTCTGCCTCTGCGGCCTTGCAATGTAATTGCTACGGAAATTTGTTACACTTTTGGCATTTGTTCTGAGTGGGGGACCGAGAGAGACAGAAAGAAAGAATTGCATGTGTTGGAAAAATGAAATGAGAAACAAGACACAGAAGGAATTTAGGCACAGCTGACTCACTGAAGTTTCATTCTTCAGCTTGAATTTTTCGCAGAGTAGAGCGATTGGTATAAAATGGATTTGTGTTGGTTTGTGTCAGAGAGTGAGATGAGTCAGAGAGAGAGACACAGAAGGGTTGGTGAAGCTTTGACCTTTGCCCCCCTCAGCGTAGAGTCCATTCCCCCCTCTATGATTATGGATAAGATGAAATATTTAGTGTTGCACCAATCAAGTGAAACTAAATCAATATAGTGTAGAAATCTATTATTGTCAAGAGTGGCTTTGGACTTAAAGACGACTTAAACGGCCAAAATTGCATCTCATGCAGATGCTAATGGCTCCCAGAAGATACAAAAAATGGCGAACAAATACCTAAAAAAAACAAAAAAAGTGTAATACTTTTTGATGGTATGAAAAGGGATGAGAACAGATCTAGTTGTAAAGGAATGGTATTTGGCACCGCTACAATATGAGCATTCTGGAAATAATATTCATGTTAAAGGAAGAATGTGGGACTTGATCCAGTAGATGTCGCCCTTGAGCGCCAGCATGAAACCAAAAAAAACTGCTGTTTGGCCACACCTTTGCTCTCCTCCAGCAACAACACCTCCAACCCCCCTCTACTTGAGTTCGCACAGAGGAGTTAAAGGCAGGGTTGGTCATTTTTTTCAGATACAGTTTTTAAGATTTTGGTTGAAATTGTCTTTAGGTCCTCACAGAAATGAATAACTCATGTTCTCTGAATCCATCATCTGTAGCAGTTGTAAGCCTGTAAAAACTTCAACCAATGTCTTCCATGAGGTACCAATCTGATGAACCAATCAGGCCTCCCTGTCTCCCTACTCGCTCTCTACCCCTTGCGTGCACTAGCCCACACTCAAAGTGTACTCCTGCATGTAAGTGAGGGGCGTGGCTTTTGAGGGAGCACAGAGGGGAGGGGGTGGGTGTAGTGTAGACCATGGAACACTGAGGGAATTTGACTTTCAAAATCATGCTAGTTTTTGAAAATTACAAACCCTGCATTTAAGAGCAAGCGGTGGATAAATTTGTCCTTGGCTTGAGCAGCATTGTTGTGTTAGTGGGCTAATGTTAGCACACTTTAGTTAGCTTGTAGCTTCACATGCATGTAAATTGACACCGGATGACTGTGATCAAATTAACGGTGAGTATGTCATTGTTCCTTTCTCTAGTCCTCGACTTAAACAGCTTTCAAACGTAAGTCGAGGAGCCAGCCGTCCTGTCCATGTTAACATGATGTAAACACGGCTCTGACAACAACACAGCTAGCAGGACTTGTGTTTCTCACTTATTGTTGACAGTCATGACTCAGAGAGACATTTACAGAGGTAAAATAGAGTAAATAAAGTATGTAGGAGCTATTGGTAATGTGCTGTGTTGCACAGCAAGAAGACTAAAACATTTGTCTTCATACAAGACCATAACTGGACTATAAATTAAATACATTCAAGGTAAAGAAAATGATGATATAGGTGGACAGATCTGAACACACTCAGTGTCCAGGGTATTGCAGGATCGTTTAGGTCTGAAGATTTCCATGGAGGGCCCCTGAGCAATTAACCAATGGCCAGCCAATACAGCCAGACTTAATTGAATACGGATTAAGGGAGAAAAAATAAGCAGAGAAGGTATTACAAAGAGAGAAACGAAATGAAAGGAGGCAGAAAGATGGAAACAAATGATAGCAGGATCCCAAGAGTGGTCAGAGGTGCAGCCAATCGATGGAGACAGATTACAACTCTCTCGCTCGCTCCCTCTTTAACTTCCCTTTGTCTCTCTCCCTTTCTCGAGCCCATTCTCTCCCTCTTTTGCACGCATTTGATGTAATGGAAACACTTCAAAAAGGAGCCTACCTTGCAGAGCCTTGTGGTGTACATTAAGCTGGGGCTACACAGATGCCTGTCTTCAGAGAACGGGGGATAAACAGGATTGGGCACACACACACTCAAAATGTGCAGATCAAAAGCAAACAGTACCTCTGCCAGAGCTGGAATGGCTTCTGACTGACAATCCAGATCCTGTGACAGATGAAAGGTATCTACTGACAGACAAAGTCCACTTTCATACGATTGTACACACATTAAAGTCACAAAAAAACATCACTAAAAGGCAACTAAAAACCTTAAAATCAAATACAAGTGAAATCTTCTCAACTAGAACTGAAAAGCCAGGTACTAAGAGCTCACAGT